CGCGGTGGTAGGAGAGCCCTCTTCGCGGCTTGCAGTGGATCAGGCCCCCCTAGCCGGGATCTCTAAAGGCATTTAAATTTCTTAGGGGGCTAATCGAATTATAGGTAGTGTGATGAAAGACAGTGGGGCACAGGAACCCTGGCCTGGTCTCCGCTCCGGCCACCGGCCAGTTGGAGTCTCCCTCCCGCCCCCACTGCAGGCATCTAGCTTCCCCCCCTCCCCAGAGGACTCAGCTGGAGCTGCCCCTCCTGGGGGGAGAAGGCCCCAACGCCCTGGCCTGGATGGGAAGTTGGGGGGGCTAGCCCTGAGATGCCCCCCCCTGCTGTAGCTAAGGGCCTGCAGTGGATGTCCCTGCAGTCCCTGCACTTGGTCTTTCTGCTCTTTTTATAAAAAAGGTAAAGGTTCCCTTGCTCGAAAGCCAGTCGAGTCCGACTCTAGGATTGTGGTGCTCATCTCCGTTTCAAAGCCAAAGAGCCAGCGCTGTCCGAAGATGTTTCCGTGGTCATGTGGCCGGCATGACTAAACACCAAGGCGCACGGAACGCTGTTACCTTCCCACTGAAGTGGTACCTATTTATCTCCTTGCAGTTTCTGGCTTTCGAACTGCTAGGTTGGCAGGAGCTGGAACTAGAGACGGGAGCTCACTCCGTCCTGCGGCACACTCGGGGCTCGAACTGCTTAACTACCGACCTTCCACAGCCTGCAGTTCAGCGTCGTAACCACTTGAGCCACCTTAGCTCTTTGTATGCCCTCTGAGTAATTCTCTTGTTTCATTCTACACCTGTCTGCCCAAATGCCTGGCAGAAAGCCACCGTTTATCCAGGTACTGGCCCTTGGTTCCACTCAGAAAGTGAACCTGTGTTCGCTCCTTCTTACAAACTGATAGGGACATCAGAAGAGCCCTCCTGGATCAGACCAGTGGCCAGGCCCGTCGCCAGGATTTCTTTTGTTTTTGGGGGGGCATTTAAATTTCTCCCACCCCAAAACGCCCCACTGCAGCTATGGGCCTGCCAGTGGTCCATCTCGTCCGGCATCCTGCCTTGCACGGCAGTTCCTCTGGACGGCCAACGACAGGGCAGTGAGACCAAGGCCTTCCTCCTGATAAAAGTCAGAGTGGGAGAAACACACCTGTACTGCACTCATGGACTCTGGGGCCACCTGCTCTTCTCTCCCCACAGCCCCACCCGGCTTATCTGTCTCCCCTAAAACCGCTACTGTTATTGGCTTCACCAGGAGCCCAGTTATTCAGCAGAGTGTATAACCCTCTGATGCTGTCGCCTCCTGCCTCTGGGACTCAGAGGCTGGGTGCCTCTGAATGTGGAGGTTCCCCTCAGTCACCATGGCTAGTAGCCACTGGTAGACTTACCCTCCGTGAATCTACCTCATCCCCTTTGAAAGCCGTCTGTGCCTGTCGTCCTCCAGGCTTACCAGAGGAAACTGGAGACCTGGAAGCCTGTTGTCTGAGCACTGTGGAGGATGCCTGGCTGCCGAGAGGTCAGCAGTGCCCGTCCCAGGCCACGACATCACCTAGCGCTCCATTAATCGATATTGTCACCTTGCTTGTTTAACATATATGCAGAGTACATCATGCGAAATGCTGGCCTGGATGAATCACAAGTGGGAATTAAGATTGCTGGGGAAAAGATCAACAACCTCAGATATGCAGACGATACCACTCTAATGGCAGAAAGGGAAGAGGACCTAAAGAGCCTCTTGCTCAGGGTAAAAGAGGAGAGCGCAAAAGTGGGCTTGAAGCTCAACATCAAAAAAACGAAGATCATGGCATCCGGCCCCATCACTCCTTGGCAAATACAAGGGGAAGTCGTGGAAGTAGTGACAGACTTCACGTTCCTGGGATCCCAGATCACCGCAGACTGTGACTGCAGCCATGAAATTAAAAGACGCCTGCTTCTTGGGAGGAAAGCGATGGCGAACCTAAACAGCATGATAAAAAGTAGAGACATCACCCTGCCAACAAAAATACGCATGGTCCAAGCAATGGTATTCCCAGTAGTCATGTATGGCTGCGAGAGTTGGACTATAAGGAAGGCCGAGCGCCGAAGAATAGATTCTTTTGAACTATGGTGCTGGAGAAGACTGTTGAGAGTCCCTTGGACTGCAAGGAGATCAAATCAGTCCATCCTAAAAGAAATCAACCCTGACTGTTCCCTGGAAGGCCAGATAATGGAACTGAAGCTCAAACACTTTGGCCACCAAATGAGAAGGGAGCACTCCCTGGATAAGACCCTGATGCTGGGAAAGATTGAAGGTCAAAGAAGACGGGGACGGCAAAGGATGAGATGGTTAGACAGTGTCATAGATGCAACGAACATGAAATTGAGCCAACTTCAGAGGACGGTGGAAGACAGGAAGGCCTGGTGTGATCTGGTCAATGGGGTTGCGAAGAGTAGGACTCGACTGTGCAACTGAACAACAACAACATGCTGCCTCTCAAGAGTCCTAAGTTACTTATTTTATTTCCTTTTTCTTTCTCTCCAGTTGGGACCCAGTGCATCTTACAGCATTCTCCTCTCTTCCAAATTGTGCTCGCAACAACCTTGAGAGGTAGGTTAGCTTCAGGATGCGCGACTGGCCCAAGGTCACCCAGCAGGCTTCCGGGGCAGATTGTGGATTCGAAATGAAGTCTCCCAAATCCCTGTCGGACACTCTAACCACCACACCATTTTCATCCTGCCCGTCCTCCGCAGAGCTCAGGGCAACGGACATGGTTTTCCCTTCCTCGTTTTGTCTTCACGACAACCCTGCGAGGTAGGTTAGGCTGGGAGCATGTGACTGGCCTCGGTTCCGTGTCAGGATGGAGATCGGAACCAGGCTGTCCTGGATCCTAGTCAGACAGACACTGCCCTGTGGGAGGGGCCAGCTCTGGGTGCTGTTAGCCCAAAGTGGCACGGTGTCTCTGGCTGACAGACGCAACGCTCCCTCTGCCACCTTGGTGAAGATACCACATCCCATTCAGTCACCAGCAGAGGTGTTTCATGCTGATGGCAAGCCCTCTGCCAAGTGACCATTGGTTTCCCTTCCCCTCCCCACAGCAGACACCCTGTGAGGTAGGTGGGGCTGAGAGAGCTCTTCCCAGAACTGCCCTTGAGAGAACAGCTCTGAGAGAACATGACCCTTCCTTACATGCCAAGGGAAATGCCCAGGGGTCATTTCCTGCAGGAGCACACAGGAGCTGAGCTCCGGCAATAAAGAGCCCAGGGGGCGGGCACATGCAACAAGCCCCACCCCCTGCTCCCAGCAGCCCTCAGTCAGAGCAAGAAGCAGCCAGGAAAGTTGCAGAACCCCCCCCCTGTCCAAAACAGTCCAGTGGCACCTTTAAGACCAAGTTTTATTCAGGTACAGACTCTCCCTCCTCTGTGAGGACAGATCTGCACATCCCCCCCAATAGCTGGCAATCCAAAAGAGTCCAGTGGAGCCTGAGCGGTGGGTGTTGCCTTCTGGCACACTGCCGGTGATGTCAGGGGGTGTGGCATATGCAAATAAGTTATGCTAATGTGTTATGCTAATGAGCTCCTGCACCCCTTTTTCTACGAAATAACCCCTGGAAATGCCAATTGCCACTTTGGGGTCAGGAAGGCGTTTTCCTCCAGGCCAGATTGGCCCCAGGGATCCTGGAGGTTTTCTGCCTTCCTCTGGGCATAGAGCAGCATTTGGGGGAGTGGAGGGGGGATGTAATTGTGAATCTCCTTTATTGGGCAGGGGGTTGGACTAGATGACCCCGGAGGCCCCTTTCATCTCTGTGCTTCTAAAAACTGCATAACTCCTGGTGACTTCTAAGCCTGCGGCTGTACTCTGTGACACTGACGGTAAAAATTATTACGAACCTGTCGGAACCCCTTGCTCACTGGCAGCCTCTTTGTGCCAGGAGGCATGTCACACTTTGCCCTCGGTCTCCTCTTGTGCAAGACACAGAGGGTTGTGTTGTTTTTTATTTATTTTCAACGATTCTCCATGGCGCCCTGTGATTCAGCACTGCCGTTCCGTATGCTGCTGCCCCAAGGGGACGGCTGTACTTGCGCGCTGCCTGCGTCAGTCTGGGGAGGTTTGGCACGGAAGTAGTTGGTGTGTCCCAGATGCGG